ACCTGCCTAGTATAGCTGTCGGAGGCCAAGGACCCAGCCCAGGGGCTTCTCTGCTCTTTGGAATCTCTTATTCAGCCTGGAGGCACCTTTACAAGTTTGCCTTCCCTAGGCTTTAGCTCTTCTATTAATCTTGCCCCTGTAGAGTAGCTGTGAGGCTCTGGGACCTGGCCAGGCTCCTGGAGGAGGAGGAAGCTTCCGTGAGCTGTTCGTGAGCATATAGTGACTCCAGGATTCACTCACCCTGCTGACAAATGCCAAAAATAATCTTATTTGTGAGCAAACCAGACAAGTCAGTGGTGCTTCTAAATGTCATTGTAACGGGGAAGGCAGCCACGCAAACAGGAAAAAATCCCCGTGGCTTTGCCCGAGGGTGCCCAAGGGGTGCCTTGGTGGTGAGCCAGAGCAGGTATATTTTTATTACCTCCTTCTTCCACTAGTTTGTCATCACCTTATGCAGGAGTTTTTTTCCAACTTAACCCCATTTGCAGAATAGTTAGTAAGATACAAATCGCCTGTCTGTCCCTGCTCTGAGGTCAAGGCCATGAGGCTCTGGTCCAGCACGTGCAGGGATTTGCCCTGTGTTTCCCACAGCTTTCTAAGGCATTGCTGACAGCTACAGCCAGTAAGGTCAGTGCAAGCCAAGGTCTGAGCACGTGGCCTTTGCAGAGATGTGCCCCGAACCATCACTCTCTCTCCCACCCGTGGGCAGTGCCTCCACTCAGCATCGGAGTGGAGGGCACAGATCCTCCCCAGCTTGCCCTCAGCCGATCTCCTCCTCCAGTTGCATTAACACTGGTGGAGGAGCAACACAGCACAAGCATCAAGTACCAGCACAATGGTGCAAGGAAAGGAAAAGAAAAGCATCTGCCGTTTGCAGAGGGAGCTGGTTTGGGCAGGCGCTTTTTAGCACGGAGCTGCACTTGCTGCTCCTCCCCGGGAGCCCCAGCACTGCTGGCTGGGTCATGGAGCTCTACTGTTGTAAATCCCAACTATGCTTTTTTCCAAACCAATTTTCTCAGGAACTGACCCAGTTCTAGCACTCAGGAACTGGCAGTCACCCTACTGGCAAATGTTTCTCATCTGTTTCAAATGATCTGTCCAGTGTGACCTTTTCTGCTTAAGTAGCTTACACAATGAAAATACATGAATGTTAAATCCTAATCTTGCACAACTCTGAAAGCAGGGCCATACATTTACCAGCAGCAAGGGACATTTTTTTTCCCCATCCTTTGCCCAAAGTAAGAAGGAAACAGCTAGCAGTGTGCAATTGCGGTGAGGGGAGAACTTGCTCGAAACCTCTCACCCTCAAAGTTCACAGGGCACTCAAGGCAACAGGGTTTGTACTACCCATTTCTCCTGCTTTTTGCTTTGGAAAGATGAAAAGCAAGGGATTATTCAGGGATATCCAACCACAGGCAAAGCCCCCATGGCCTTCTGGGGCTGTTTCCTAACCAAATGGCACTGCAGATCAGGACAGTGGTGGTTCATGGGCTTCCTGATTCCCCCCCCTTCAGAGCTCCCCTTGGCACCCATCAGGCTAACTGATCTTCATAGTCCAAATGCTCTTCCTCCCTCTCATCTCTGTTTTCAAAGCTGTGATCCCACCCAGCACAAAGCAGCTGGTGTCTGTTCTGGGAGGCAGTTGCTATAACAGTAGTATGGGATCACTTTTTGTCTTTAGCATAATGAAAGATAAAAAGGTGCTGAAATTTTGCTTGCAACCACCTTGAAAGTTCAAAAAGTTCAAAAGTGTGAAGGATGGTCACGCTCTTTCCATTGGCACCTACCTTCACAGCGTCTCACTGGAGCCAAAACCGAATAGCTATGACTTGATGGGAATAGCTTCACACCTGAGAAGTGCCTGTGCCTCCCCCAGATCTGCACGGCCGATGCAGCAGGCTGGCAGCGCTGCCCTGCCTGAGCACGTGTCTACCTGCACGCATGCAGTGAAATGGAGAGGCTAACTGGCAGGTGGGAAGGGGCCTGAATCTGCCTTTGCTGCTCCAAAACAGTCCCATTGATGCCAGCTGGGAAGCAATAACACATTTATTTGGGCATCAATTCAAACAGTGGTATTTGTACAGGTGCTTGGAGGGCAGTTTTCTTCCTAATGACAAGCGCTCCTTCGATTCATGATACTGTTTCTCATGTTCTTAGTATGTCTGAACTGTTTCTTAATGTGCCTAAATTTGGCCATGGGAAGATTCAGCCTCAGCCACAGCCCGTTGCTTGTCAGGGCACGTGCACCACAGCTCTGCTCTTTCCAAAACATCCTCTATTGTCCCTTCTGGAGGGGAGTTTCTGCAACCAATTACCCTCGACTCACGCCAGGCAAGATGGAGCTGACTCTGGCTGATCTTTTAGCACAGTAAGTGGAACTATGAAATGTTTTTTCAGCAAGGTGTATGCGGTACCTGAGCTCTCACCTGGGGCAAACCAGGTGTAGCTGAAGCACCCACTCCTTGCAAAGGGTGCTCCAGAAAAAAAAAGGGATGAAGTAAATGGTGACAGGCAAAGCTATACGAGAGTCACGCCGACCAGCTGCGCTGATGTGCCTAGCCCACAGGAGATGAACGAGGGGATGAATAATTTTTATATATTTCCTGCAGAGCCCTGAGAGGCAGGAGCAGCTGGGTTGGCTCCGGAGCCAGCAGAGCCAAGAAGCTTGAGGGGAAGTGCTGTGATGGGTCAAAGTGGGGCTGGCCCTGGGGACCACTGGCCGGAGCTGTGTGGGCTGAGGTGCTGCGTGGTGCCGCGGGCCCCAGGTGCTGGGGAGAGCCGTGCGCTGCCGCTGCTGCGAGGGGCTCGGGCAGCCTCCGACAGGCGACCTGCGCTGATGGTGCCATTTGGTTTCAATTTTAATGAATCATTTAAACTTTTCAAACATACCTTTGACCTACTTGAGCACTATTATACCAAAAATTAATGCCAACACCACATAAATCTTGGCAATGTCCTCTCTGGTGCTCTCTTAGTAAAGCCACTGATCATGTGGCAAGCGCTTTAACATTGCAATGTGGCATCTAATCCCCAAAGAGAACAGGTGGACCTTTTAAAAAAAGCTCCAAACTTCCACAAACTGCAAAGTTTTGAGGTGGGTTCCCATGCACTTGGAGGTCCAGGTAAGAGCACTTTGCTGGTTTCAAATCTTTCTGTGTAAGCCTTTGTTTGTTTTTACTTGCCTTGTGAAACCACATGAATATATTAAAATTAGCTGTACTGGAAATGGAAAAAGCTTTGACATTCATGTGCAGTCCTTGGATGCCGTTACTCACCAGCTGTGAGTTACAGCTGCTGCTTTTCCCAGCTCTGTAAGCCAGCTCTCCTTATCATTGCATCCTTGTACTGAATTACAAGACCTTTCCAAGGCAGAGACTTATGCGTACAGCCGGGTTTGTACTGACAGAAGTTTTATGTCATGTTCTGTATGTTAAGAAGAAATTCTAGTAATTTCTTCTGACTGGAACCTCTCCATGCATCCTAATTTCACAGTGAAAGAGAGTTAGTGGTATTACTTATACTTATGTGATGGACTTGGAAGGATTTGATATTAATTTAAATTCAAAATTAGCTGTTAAAATTGTGTATTTTTAATTTCTGTGATGTTTTGCCAGTTAGGGCTTCTGGTTAATTTAAACTTTCCGCCTTCCCCACACCCCCCCACCAGCACAACCTGTTTTCTCCCACTCCCCTGAGCCACTTCTTCAAGTGATGGAGTTTTTGTTGGCCCCCAACTCTCAGCTTTCCCAAGGTGTCTCTGACTTGAAGCTCTGCCATTTGGCAGACCCCCAATGTCATATTGTCACACTGTAGCCACGAGTGCTGAGGAGTGAGCACCCATGACAGAGTACGACCTGAGAGTCGACCTTTTATAGCCAAGGCTGTATGGACAATGATGTAAAGTGAGTTTGTAATCTGAAAGGAGCTCAGTGATGCATTGTGTGTTCACATAGATGTAGCCATGTTCTTAAAGCAGAGCTCAAGCAGTGGCCTCAAGCTTTCAGAAAAATTGATATCTATATCTAATCTATATGATATATCTCTCTGTGTGTCTCATTCTCTCTGCCTCCCTATCTCTATCTAATCTGTAACCATACCTGTATCTATATGTAAAAATTAAAGAATATATATATATATGCATATTCTTTTTACCTGTAATCCACGTGCTTCCTGGCATAGGGAAGCAGGCTGGGCTGGTGTGTCCGTAGATGGAGATTCCTACCCACCTTCAGGATGAAATCTGAAGGAAGGAGCAGTCTGCTCCGGGAAACTCTGCTCCTCTCTCCCTCTCAGTCCCCATCTTCCCTCCAGCAGACCTGCTCAGGAAGACAGATTTTTTTTTCCCCTTCAAAAATTTTCATAACCACTAAGACTTCTCACAAGCCTTCTTACCATTTCTTTTTTGCTGGAGGGTGAATTAGAAAGGAAATGATCTCTCTGCATTTTTTTTTTCTTTTTAGTCACCAAATCCTGAAACAGGAAATCCAAAAGCACTGGTGACAGTTGCTTAAGAAGTGTCTGTTTATTGGATAAGGCAAGGCACAGGAATTCTGTTTTGGGTTTTTCTTTAATGAGAATGTCGTTGGTCCAAGGCACTTCCTATGGCAGGCGAGTCAGTCACTTGGCTGCATCATTCTTTCCACAGAAGACGCACGGAAGACGGCTTGGTGACTGAAGTACCGGCTGACGTGCCTTTGGAGAATGTGCTTAGCTAGCCAGAAACTATTTCAAATGAAGCCAAAGTCATCTGTATTTTGCCATCCCCAAAAAAGTTACAAATAAAAGCCCTCTGGGAAATGATTAATCAGAGTTGGTAAATGAGTGAAAAGGCACTTGTCAGTGCTCACCCTGCAGAGGGAATG